CCCCATTCCCCTCCTTCCAGGCTCAGTGGCTTGCCTGTCCCCATGCCAGCCCCCAGTCCCAGTCTTCCCAGCATGGGGCTGGGCTGGGGACTGGGAGCCTGCAGGGTGGTGGAAGCAAAGCAACGCCTCAACCTGCTGGAGAAAAGGGCCCTGGGCCAGTTCCCAGCCTCTGCACCCCGAAATTCCACACCCCGCTGCTCCCCAGGGACCCGGGGAGGCTCCCAGCACCTGAAGGAAGGCAGCCCCGGTTGCAAAATAACCTGGGTGCTGCCAGTGCCCCGGGCCTCCTGCAGCCCCCACAGCTGGGGCAAGAGCTCTCATGGGCATAAAGAGGAAATTGGGGTTGTTCTCTCTTTTCCTGCACGAAAAAATATTGCACAGCACAAGAGCACCCAGGAGGTTATTGGCCGGGGTTACAGTTTGTGCCTGTGATGAAGGACCTGGGTGCACCGTGGCCTCGGGGACATCTGTGGGAGCCAGGGCTGAGCCCACCCGCTCCTTCGGAAGCTTTTGGGGGATGAGAGTTGCTGGGACTGAAGATGCTGAGAAACTGCCTCAGGTGGTTTCGGTGCCCGCTGTGCCCAGCCCGTGCGCCCACACCGGCCCGACAGGTACCGCCCCGACCTGTCCTGAGCTGAGAGCCCCCGTGGCAGTGATATTTTGAGAATAACGATGAAAAAAAACCCACCAAAAAATAAAGACAATTAGAAAAATGCAATTTTCCAGCGGGTGCATTTAAAGATCGTTATCTCCCGCTGAGAAGAGAAACCAATTTCCTTACAAATTAAAAAGACTTCGGCTAACTAAAACTTCCCTGCGGTCCCCAAATCCCACCCCTGCACAGCTCAGGGGGGCAAAGGGCTCTGCACCCCCTGGACCAGAGGCCGCAGTTGCCATCGGTGTCCTGCAGCTGCTTTATCAGCCTGGGACCGGCAGAGGAACCCACCGATGCATTCAGGGGTGCCCCGGAGCTTGGACAAGCAAATCAGCATTTTCTTACTAGTCCGGCAGGGCTTAGCAATATAAAATCACAGTCCTTTTTAAGGGCTCAGGTTGCTTTTAAACTTGGCGGTGTCTCCTTTATTATAATAAGAGGCATCAGGAAATTTGCAGCTAATACTTCTACAAGAGGCAATTCCTGCTTGCCCCGCTCCTGCCGCCTCTCTGTAGCTTGGTAGGGTCACATTCATTGCATTAATTCTGTAATTTTATTCCTAATGGTCTCTGGTTTATCTTGAAGGTAACATTACTCATTGGGGAAAAATATTGATGCTTTTAATAGATTTACTGTTGCTTAAAACAGTTTGTTGTACAGTCATTCATAAATGACTTACTGGGATGAGGGACGTACATTGACGCCGTTGCTGAACAACATCAATAAGCCCAGGATCCCACTGAATCTTAAATGCTCCGTTTATATTCTTTATTTTTACAGCATTATAGCCCTAGATGACGTGTTGAGGGAGCAACACAAAGCCAAGCCTTGCTGCTGGGCAGGGACGGGCTGCAGTCCCGGCCAGGGCTGGGGCGCAGGGCTGAGCAGACCTGGCAGCAAAGCAGGCAGCAGCGTGGGAAGGACCGTGCGGGTACCAACGCAGGTCGTCATCTCCCAGAGTCTTGCACATCCTCGCCGAGCTAGTGCAGGATTCAAACATGACTCAGTCCCAACACGTATTTTTATCAGCTCTAGCATATGGCCTCGGCACCGCAGAAACGGCCCTTGGCAAGCGCCGCGGGCAAACAGACACAAACCTACCGGCTTGCTTGGTGTTGGCTGGGAAATACAGATTGCAAAATACGCTGCGAGGAAACCGCCGAGGCAGGTGATCTCCTCTCAGGGGGCGGCTTCAGGCTCGCAGGCACCCGCTGAGCCCCAAACCGGCCCCCGAAACCCTGGAGAGGCGCGGCGGGGCCCCGCGCCCCCGCGGGCCCCCGCCCCTCCGCTGGGGATGCATGGTCCAGCTCAAACGGTGGAAATACGGTGGATGTTTCCACTTGCTTCGTGCAAATCCATGTCCCCTGAAGCCTGCTTATCCCCGGCCCCGGTGCTCCGGGGAGACATCCCCGAAGCTGGCTTCCCGCAGCTCTCGGCAGAGGGGCTCACCCACCCAGGCCAATTGCTAATGAGTGCCATTAGTTAGTTGCTAATTAGCTCAAAGACTGAATAGAAGGGAGGAGATATTAAAATATATGGGGGTTTAGAGTGTTAAAAGAGCAACTTTAGCCTAGAGGGGACAGACACCGATGGGAGGATTATTTTTTTTTTTCAGCAGCTGAGTCACGTCTCTTCGTGCTCTCTCAGCGCCTGTAAAAGCTCTGGGAGAAAAAAAAGTGTGTGTTTTCTACTGCCTGGGCTCCTCTTGTGCAACGGCTGCAGGAAATCCCTGCAAAACACTGAAGAAAACAAAAAAATGCCACCTCACCAAGCCATCTAGAGTAACACAACCTGGAGAGCTGGGAATTAATTATGCGGTTTGGGGGGTTTTAACACAGAAATCCCCTCCCTCAATACAGCTGCCATCCAGAAAGCAGCCTGGGAGGGGGAGTGCAAAGCCTCCACGAGCAGCTCGGGGTGG